GTCGGAGCAAAACTTCCACATGCATAGAGGATTTAATATAATTTGGCACAAATGTTCACCATGTGAGGCGAGGTCGCGCAAAAATTCAGGTCCCGCAGCCAAGGTCAAGGTCACACATAGGTCAAAGTTTAGATAAAAATATGAAGATGTGTATAGGGACGATTTAATGTCATCATTTATTGAGGGATTGTACACAAATGGTCAATTATCATGACTACGGCTGTGACACATGTACTTTAGGTCAATATATGCAAGGTCAAGGTCACTAAAGATGGTGAAAATATCCAGATTTTGTCTGGAGCATATCTCCTACATGTATGGAAGAATTTTTATAATACTTTATGAAATGTTCACCACCATGGATATGTATTGCTCCATGCATGATCCAGGTCAAAGGTCAAGGTCACACTTAGGAGCTCATGAAAAACGCTTGTCCGGAGCAAAACTTCTACATTCATAGGGGGGATTTTCAATATAACTTGGCACAAATGTTCACCATTGTGAGGGGCTAAGTGTCGCACGCAAATTCAGATCCCTGCGACCAAAGTCAAGGTTACACATAGAGGTTCAAAGTTCAGAAATAAAAATTTGAAGATGTGTTATAGGGACCATTTATTTCATCATTTATTGATGGATTGTAGCACAAATGGTAACTATCATGACTACAGGTGTGACACATTTAATTTAGGTTAATTTTGCAAGGTCAAGGTCACTGGAGATGATTAAATATCCAGATGTTGTCGGAGCATATTTTTTTACATGCATGGAGGAATTTTTAATGTTACTTTAATAGAATTTTTTCACCACCATTGAGACGTAGTCCTTTGCACATGAACCAAGTCTCTAGGTCAAAGGTGAAGGTCACAGTTAGAGCTCATAGAAAAAACGCTTGTCTGGAGCAAAACTTCTACATGCATAGAGGGATTTCAATATAATTTGGCACAAATGTTCATCATTGTGAGGCTGAGTGCCGTGCATAAAATTCAGGTCCCTGCGACCAAGGTCAAGGTCACACATCCTGTGCATATCTTCCCTACTGATTTGTTTTAAGGTTCATTTAACAACACAGGCCAAGAATAAAAAACTTGCTTGCTAGATAAACACTATCCATAATGCCCCCCATCTCCATCTAAAACTTTTCGTAAACAGGCGTATTTTTGTGACTATGCACCCTTGTTTTGAGTTAATTTCTACTGGTTATTTTAAAAAAAGGAGATACTGTAATTCAGTCAAAAACAAAGTCAGCATTATAGTTATTGGATAGTGACATTCAGATATGATTCCCAAAGACATGTGTTGCTTTATATTTGTTTGTTCGTTTTTTACACCAATAATGAACACATTTCGAGGTCATATCTAGAAAATAAGTCAATCACAAGTGACTGACTACTTACCCTACATGAATTTTGAAAACAGCTTGGAGAGACTGATCAATGTACATATTGTCAAAGGTCAATTGTCTCAAGGAAATGTTCCTTACCTGGATATCAAACGTGGAACCCCCTTGATTACGGACTATTGAGCCAAGCCGGCAAATGTTTCAAGTGCATTACAATCGGTAATTGTGAAGATACCGATTTTGTGAGAAAACCCTTTAAAATCAGTATCATGCCATTACACAAAGCAAGACAGGTCCATTGAGTTGTTCAAACTGTCTTAAGATCCCAGACTTCTTGCATGAATTTTTGATGAATATCTACCATTCGATTTTTTCTGTTAAAGGCACGATTATACCTCCAGAAATCCATATTTGTTTAAAATCTGTAGTGTATGTTGTTCAGAGATGTTTTAATAATGGATGAGAGGCATATAAGATTTGAACAATTGAAGAAAACAGCACTGAATGCGCAAAGAAGACCATAAAGGTAGCAAAAATGTAAAAAAGCAGTATTTTTGACTTCCATAACAAAATACTTATTCACTATAAATTAAATAAAGCAATGGAATCCAAATTAAGTGCAAACGAGCTGTTAAACAAGATAACAAAAAAATAAAAAAAGCTTTTCATAATAAAATATTACAGCATTTTTGAGGCAAATGGGCCTGTAAAGTCTTTACAGACAAAAAATCATTATCAAACTGTCTTAACAGATGCTGAATGTATTCACATGAAATTTCACAGTCTTCAGTATTTTTGGTAAACTATGAGAGACACATAACTGGAGCATAGATATGAATTGATATAAGTTTGGTAATGGAGTTTAAATGGAATCTTTACCTCTTTGTGAAAAAGCTACAATAGTAACAATATCCATTCTTTTTTTTTCATAATCAAAAACTCAGAATAGTAAAGTGCAATGACAGCTCCCCGAAGGGGGGCATATAGTTATCGCACTGTCCTTCTGTCCAGAAATCTTATCCACAATTCATCTCCAAAACAGCTGAGGGGATTTCAGTGAAACCTCACAGGATTGTTTGTCACCATGCCTACTGTTGTGCATAATATCTTGTTTTTCAGCTTGAATTTTTTTTTTTGTTCACAGATATGGTCCCTTTATGGTCTATTTTCCAGTAAAATAAGCTTGTCCATCTACATCTCCAAAACCGCAGGAAGATTTAGGTGAAACTTCTCAGGATTGTTTGTCACCATGCCTAGTTGTGCAGTGTCTTGATTTTGCCCTCAATTAATTTTTGGCACAGTTATGGTCTCTTAATGTTTTTCGAGTTATAAGCTTGTCTGCCTAAATGGTCAGTTTACAAGTAAAATAAAAGGAGATTTCCGTGAAACTTCACAAAATTGTTTGCCACCAAGCCTAGTTGTGCACAGTATCTTGATTTTTCAGTAAATTAACTTTGTTCATCCTTCATCTCCAAATGTTTTGCAGACTTACCTGCCCTTGACAGTTATCAAACATGTCAAGCAAATAAGAGCTTTGCAAAGACAAGATAATATATGTCCAAATGTAAATTTGTTTGAGTAATCAAAAATTATCTTCCAATTAGAGAAGAGACCCAATCAAGATACTTGTCTGACAATCTTTAGACATTGCTCCACAAAATTAGACTGAAATGTGTTTTCTAAAATAAGACTGGGGCAGGGCGAAACCTGTGTTCTGCACAATATCTCATAAGTAATTTTTTTGCCAAAAGTTTTAATTTCTATTAGTTCAAAAGATACAGGATGGACACAAGATTTGAAATTCACACAAAATGACAAAGTGTGACCTTGGCCCATGGAAGGTCAACCTGGGCTCTGCAAATTGTCTCATTATGCTTAGTAGTTTAATTTACTTCCATCAGATACAGACTGGAGACAAAAACTGCTAACAGATGGATAAATGACAGCCAGGTGGTTAACTATGTTCTCATTTTTTGGGGGTAAATAAATTTTTTGGGGGTAAATAAAGAAAGATCAGTCAAAAAGGGGTATAACTTTATAAAAATGAATTTTAGGATTAACATCCCTTTTGAAAGGTGTCAAAGTTTGATGTGAACATGTTTACCAAGTTTTAAGTGAATAACTTGAGTTTCTGAGAAAACAGACCTTAACAAAAAGTGAACCAGGGCTTATATTTGAAAAAGGGGCTTAACTTAGGAAAAACAAAACTTTTAAGGGTCATCTGCCCTTTAGAAATGGCATCCTTTCATGATTTTAATAAACATGTATTATATTAAGTTGAATTGATTAGCTTTTTATAGTTTTAGAAAATGAACCTTTACAAAAAGGTATAACAACCACGACACAGGGGTCACAACAATAACTCCACTTTCTTTTCTTCAGAGTGGAGCTAAAAAAAAAAGGCCTCCAGATGTACCTTGATGAGTTTTACCTGCAACAACCATTTCAAGATCAAAAAGTCAAGGTCATTTAGGCATATAATAAAAACAAATGAATGGCTTTTAAATCAGTAACCTGGGACATTTTATGTGTAGTCAAGTCACAATGAACTTTAACTTTTTTTTTTACATTTTGAGGTCACAAAAAGTTCAATGTGACATTTAATATTCAAATTATCTTTAATCCAGAAATTGTGTAATTTACTATCCAGCATCAGAGATGAAGACAACACCATATATGTCCGCATTGGAAAAGTGTAATGTGCTGCTCCTTAATAGCTCTTGTTCAATTGTCTGTGCATTTAGTATCGTTACAACTAGCAAATCCTGAAACATTTGGCAGGGGGATACTGAGCACACAAAAAATATAAAAAAAATATTTGAACCAAAGAATACAGAAGACTAATATGTTTATTTCCTACATTTATTGAATTCTTTGTGTATATATCACTAAGCACCAGGTTAATTTCTTTTTCAAAATCTGTAAAAAGCAGTGATCTCTCAGAAAACAAAAACAAAAATTAACCAAACCATCTTGTTTTCATTAAAGCACAATTTGTGTATAGAAACAGTTGAAATAATTTTCTGTGATAGAATTAAATTCTTCGATTGCAGTGTGTGATTTTTTCAGAAATTAGCACTATTTATTTTTGTTATTTATACATTCACATATACAAATTAAAGCTAAAGTATTATATTCAATAAAAGCACAATAGTGTTACTTTCACACAGAGTAGGACTACACATAGGAAGTATATTTATGATCTGTTCTCCTGCAGATCTTTATTACAATTTATGAGGTCATTTCTTATCACCAACAACAACAAGGGCAGCATCTCTCTCTTCTTCAAGCTCCTTGGCAGTGATGTCCATTTTTTCTTGTGAAAAATCATCAATAGCCAGTCCGCCTTTAATGGACCATTTCCCATCCTTGATTTCTACAGGGAACGAGTACATAAGATTTGCTGGTACATTGTATGGATTATTGTCGGAAATAACAGCCATAGATGTCCACTCACCCTGAAAAGCAATTTAACTATCTTAAAATATATACTTCAATTTTTGCCTTTATATTTGCTTATGGCAATTGTACATTTTTTTAATTTATAAATTTTATTTATGAAAGGGAACAGTCAATTTCTATAAAGTATAAACTTTGTAAGATTTATGAAGTGCTAACATTTATTTATAAAAAAATTATTGTTTAAAAAAAAAATCACAAATTTTGGCAAATAAATCATAAAACTTATATAGATAAAAAATTGCAATATTCTTTATCGGATTTACATTTTCTTATGATTGACAATATACTTACAGGCTTAGTGCCAAACCACCAATCTCTCATGTGGTCACAGGTGGCATTAGCTGCAGACATGGCACTGGAAAGCTTCCTGGCTGCTATGACAGCTGCTCCACGCTTCTGCACAGTCTATAAAAGTAAATAATTTGCTAAATCAATATGCACTTCTATGCTATGAGACCGTGGTATGCACTGAAGTATTTTGTAAAGCAATGTTCTGCTTATTTAATAAAAGACTATTTTTAACTGTTCACCTAGACACCCATAAAACATGCACCAACAGGCTAAATTTATAGGCATAGGTCATATTATATTTGGCCAGAAAACCTTAAAGAATGTTTTACAACTTTTCTGCATATAAAATGGTATGTAGTAGCTGAAAACTTGAAAGACAGGTTAGTGTTTTGCAAATGTCAAAATTCATTTTTACATAAAACTAGGGCCAGGAATTATATTCGAATATTCAAAACACTACTGAATATTTCGAACATTGAAAAATGAATACGAATATTAGAAAAAAAAAGAATGTTTTTTTGTTGTTATTACTTTTAAATTTCAATTAGGGTCGTAAATTAAACCATTGACATTTACTTGACCAGGTGTTCACACGTTTGTATGACGATCATCGCCAATTAACTGTGAAACTTTGGGGTCTAGTCGATCAAAAGGGCACCGTTTCACAGTTTGCAATTTACCTGTTTAACAGTTTATAACGTAATTCTTTCCGATTTTAATTATCTTATTAATTGTTTTCTGTGCTATAATCTCTCTGATTAATCAATAATTGTCTTAAATTTTATGAAGACGAAAAAATCGACACGCATTAATCGGTGCTTTATGAAAGCATTTTATAAGTGTTTATATTCCGTCAGAATATATTTATTCCTCCGTGTGATATTGACTGCATTGTATCTAAATTTATATGAAGAATATTTTAAACTTATCTAAAATTATAAAAAAATTAAAAAAATATTTAATACAAGTTAAGTTTCAATATAATTATGTGTTATTGGGGCTAAGAGGCCACGGTGATTCAAATTACTCAGGGTTGCCAGCACTTTGGTGAAATAAAATTCCCTGACTTTTCCCTGACTTTTCACTGACCAATTCATGTTTTTCACTGACCAAAATCGTCAAACACATTAATGGCCCCCTGACCTCCCCTATAGCCGTCCAATCCTCCCATTATATTTTTGCATGTAAACTTGTATTTATTTTCCAAAATATAAAACATTTACATCAAAGTAATGATTCAAACATTGTGTTCTACTATTCTTAACTATTTCTATTCAAACGCAGTGTGACTTTTGGTCAGTGAAACATATGACATGAAAATCAGAAGAATCATAATGTAATCACATAAGTCACTCTTTCCTTCCTAGTAGTTATCACATAAAACACCAAGACTATAAGAGTAATACTTGTATGACAAAACTTAAAATTCAAACATCTCTAAACTATAAGAACAATAAACATTTAACACAGTTACTTGTATAAGGCATCATGATAAACTCCACTGATTGTGAAAACAAGAACATAGGGCTGCTTTTGGCATATCATGAAATAATCACTATAAAATTAAAGACTTTGAATGAGTGAAGTAAGTTAGTGTGAAAAAAAGTTAGTGTGAAAAACATAGCATTGCATAATTTAACCAGTTTCCATCATGTTTGCAAGACAAATCCTCTTGTACGATTCTTAGTGTCAAAGCAAAAAGCAAAGAAGGGCTTTTAATTACTAACAAAATCTAGTCAGTATACATGTATACCAAACTACCATATTGGCATATAACCTGCTTTGTTTTTTGCTTTGACACTAAGAAATTGTACAAGAGGATTTGTCTTGCAAACATGATGGAAACTGGTTTAATTATGCAACAGAAATTACTTATTAGTCAGCTCTGGAGGCAAGGGCTGCAAAGCTTTTCAGTCTTTAGGCTGAATGATGTTCTAAGGTAAATAATAGGTATTATAATCACTAAGTTAACATATAATGCTTCTTAATATCACAGTTTACTGTTATTTGAATTTAATGCTTAACTGTGAGAGTGATAAAGTCAAATATTAAATGCTTAAAGACTGCCATAGCCAAGAAAGACCTTCAATGCGTAAATTTTTCGACCTTTGAAATAATTTTTCCCTGACTTTTCACTGACTTTTCAGGATTTCCATTTTTCACTGACTAAATTTCAAAATTCCCTGACAATTCCCTGACCTTGAAAAAATACCTAATTTCCCTGACTTTTCAAGTCCGCTGGCAACCCTGTAATACTGTCAATCAAGTCACGTGAGTTACCTCCCGTTAATAAAACAAATGATCAGCAGTCGGATTATCTGAACAAAAGGCAATCAAATTATATATTTATTTCAAAAGTAAACATATATGTCGATTTACAATAAATAAAATAAAAACTTTTACGTAGTAATAAAGATATTTTTAATCTTCGATTATTCCAAGCATATTAAAGTAGTATAGTATTCGACGCAATCAATTTCGGATAGGTATATGTCAAAGAGAAATATTGTAACAAATGTTGTTAAAAAAATGTATGGAAAAGGAATATTCGAACATCAAATTCCTTATTCGTTCCCAGCCCTACATAAAACTGTTCAATAGGTTCAAATACAATTTTTTTGCAGTTATACCCAAACACCTTGCCAATATTGACCTTAGTGCCATAACTGTAGCTATAAACTTCAATTGTATCCAGCAGCAACTAGCCTCTAATAAATAAAAAAAAAAAAACATAGAAAAAGGGACTTGAAGAATTAAACCTTACGAACAGATCACCAGAAAATAAAAGATCTGGCATTTCTATCATGACTGGAAGGAGTAGTAAACATTTGCCTGTTAACAAGCTATTTAGCCTGTTTTGGAGCCTTGAATTATTGATGGAAATATGTCTGAAAATCAGCATTTCAATAAAGCTCAAAATTTAAAATGGCAATGACAAAAGTGATTTATTCCTCATTTTGCTCACATTTCTTTTCTTTTTTTACAAAAAAATAATAAGAAAAGTTGATGACATACAGAGATAAATTCGTTTTTCAGCCAATTGTCATCTTTGACAGCATCATGGACTGGTACAGCCTTGCCATCAATTTTCACTGTAGCATGTCTCATATCTGGGTACTGCGTAGATGAGTGGTTACCCCAAATTATAGCATTGGAAACATCACCAACACTCCTTCCAACACGGTCTGCCACCTATAATGAAAATTTTACAAACGTGCAAATATCAATTCATTAATTTAAATGTAACACAAAATTAGATTAACAATAGGTAGCAATTTGAAAATATAAGTGTTTAAAGATGTAATTAATAATTTATAATGGTTGGAGATCTATTCATATTTCTCCATTCTTTCTATAATGCAAAAAGTAGAAATTAAATGACTTACTTCACTATGGACATTAGGTAACCAGTTAACAAGTCTTTAGGAGTTGTTCATCAAGTTTTGATTATTTCATTATAAACACATCATCTTACTAAATTTTACTTTATTCACTTAATTAAACTATGATGTTTAATTTCTGCATACTGTACCTGTGCTTTTGCTCTGTTTTGGTCAAGCCTGGTGAGGGCAGAGAAGTTCTCTTTAGGAATACTTGGTGCATGCTTCGAGCAAATCAGGGCATTTGTATTGGCAGGATTACCAACAACTACTACCTGTACAAACAAATTGTAAAATTCATAAACAAGATATGAACACCTGTCATGCATAAGTAGATTTAAATTACTGCATTAAATTTTACTAATATAATAAAGATACAAAACATTTTAATTCAATGTTATTATCCTTTAAACTCAGGGCATTTATTACTTGATTTTAACATGTGATAAAAAGAGTATTAGGCAATGAGCTAGTACCACATACATATTATCAGCTAGTTGTATCAGATTAAACAGATTGGGCATATAAAAATGTGAATAAAGATACACAGTTACAACAGTAGTTATTAAGTTAAGGAGCAATACTAAGTATTTTTACCTTGACCGTTTTCTTAGCAACCTTATTCAACGATTCTCCTTGACCTTTGAATATTTTTACGTTTGCTGCCAACAGATCTTTTCTTTCCATGCCTTCTTTTCTTGGCATTGCGCCAACAAGCATACATGCATCAGCATCCTTGAAAGCTGTATCATAATCATCGGTGGCAACAATTTCTGTAATAAACAAAAATTTCAGCTTCTTGATTATAAATGGTGTGATCAATATTGAAACCATTTGATGGCTTTCTAAATGAATGTACTACTGAACAAATATGTCACATTGACACGATGCATTTCTTCCTATAAGCAGGTCTCTCTCTCTCTCTCTCTCTGCTTTTTACTCATTTTTGTTCGTCAATTTCTTGCTGCACATTCATTCAATAGTGACAATACTGCTTCTTTCGGCCATCTTTATGCTTGAAAAGTGAAGTTTCTAAAACTATTCTTTTTTTGCAAACTTATGTCAGAAAAAGACTTGAATTTACATTTATCTTTTCTTTTAAAAAATACAAAAAAAAAATACTGCAATGTTTCAATTATTAACTAAATTACCTGTAACAACTGGAAAAGCACAATCTTTCAACTCCATGACAACTCCACCAAGAACACCCATCATTGGTGTAATATCCAACAACACCAAAACAATTGGCTGAATTAGACACATTAGTTAATTATAACATATGATATTTTTTATATCAGTATTTTATCTGGATATTTGCAACCATTCAAATAGCCTGGCCAGCCTAAACATTACAATGTGCAGTCAGACAAGGCCCTATACTTTAAGCTGTTTAGAGTAGTAATACCGAAATCCCTAAAACATTAATGAAATTGAATTATTCCGAATTCTAAAACTAAGCAAATCCATTACATGAATTAAGCAGTGTAAGGGTTAAATGACATTGCTTATTTGGATTCAAGGTTACGCATTTCTTTTAAAATGTGTTTTAGACAGGTAATTATCCTTTCAGGGCTAAATATTCAAATAGGCAGTCTTTAGGTACTACCTAAATGAAAAGGAAACTACAGATCATTTGTTTAGTTGTAGATCTAGTACAAACAGTCTTGTCTACATGAAATGATGAATGCATACCATATACAATCCTTTCTTTGCAGACAGAACAGGTATACCTGTTTCACTGACAGTACACAATTTTCTTCATATCAATTGAAATGCTGAAAGTTTTAGCCAATTTTTTGTTACTTTTTCAAAAACATGTACTTGTTATAAGGTAAATTTATTCTTTAAAACTTCAACTTAGTAGATTTTTTTCCATTAAAAGTTTGCATATTCCATAAGCCATACTTATGTTTTTATTAATTTCTACGAGATTTCCTTGCCATTTTATTTTAATAAAACCTCTAGCTTTAAATGGAGTGAATCACAATGAACCACTATACCTGATCTTTTCCAAAAACATCTCCTTTCGCTACAGAATACAGCAGGGAGTAGGCAATCTGCCCAGCTGCTCCTGTCACAACAACTCTGATTGCCTCAGGCTGAAATATAACATGAAATTAATACAAGTATTTTATTTGGGTATCAACATAAAATAGCAGCAATGTGAAGCCAGTCCATGGTATTATCTATTTAATAGATGATTGCCTCTGGGCATGTTATATAATCCAACAAGAGCACATTGTTTGCAATATAAAAGATATATTAGGTCAATTCTTTTTACACAAAGGGGCCAAGGTCATGGAAGGTGCCCAAGATATTGCAAAATATATTCTAGAGTTATAGGTCTCGGAAAGTGACCTCCAAATATGATTTTAAAGAGCTGCTAAAGTTTAAAGCAAATGTCTGTAGTGGTTGATGGGACAGAATGATGTTCAAGAAGATGCATGCAAAATCAATAATCAAAGTGTTATGATATCATGACGCAGACACATAGATGAATAAAATAGAAAGCACCTAGATATTGGAGAAAAAAAACTACTCATGTATATTTCATTCCAATTAAGATTATTTTTCTCTAAATTGAAATGGAACCATTAGAAAAACATTGACAAACTATCCTAGGGCACATAACTAAAACCAAAAGCATTCAATGGCAAGCACTTGAGGAAACGATCAATTCTGTAAAGTTTCATTTAATTTGCATTAGTAGTATAAAACAAGTAGTCCGGGGAAAAAATTAAGATTAAAAAAAAACATGAAAGGGCCATAACTCTTACAAAAATCAATGAACCCCAAAATGCCAATGATAAGCACAACTAGACCTGGTACAGATCATTCCTTTAAAGTTTGGATGAAATTGTATTGGTAGTTTCTGAGGAGTTGTTCGGAAAAGTTTTGTAACAGACAGACAGACAACAATAGACTTTTGCAGCTTACTCCGGTGCGGACAGCAGACGATGGACTACTGATAATTTTCAGGGGTTTTCTCAAAATAATAATACTGCACTTGGAGGACAAAATATGATGTTTTTCCGCTGTAGCTTTTATTTAAAATAATAAAACAGAATGGAATTTTACCAATAATTTTGGGTTCTTACACGTAAACATCCCTTTATCAAACATGAAATTAAACATTTGACCGTAGAAATGTGTCTTTAAAGTTGGACATTATAAGAGGAAAAAATTGTGTAGACAACTCAATTTACCGGACATTTTGTTTCAAAATTTTTTAAAGTCGTGAATTGAAATTAATCTTTAAGTAATCAGCAAGGAAACAACGACTGTTGAATGGCAAGGTTAAGATACTGGAAAAAAACAGTATGTCACTAAAATAGATATGGCAGCCATGCTTGTTATACGAAGTGGCCAATATAGGGGTGTAATTGAAATTAACACTTTTAACTCAATTACCGTATTAATTCTCCATGACCCTTAAATGTATGAAACATTTTGATATTCAAATGGAATTTTGTTCTTTGACATACAGTTTCCTTCTGGTCATCATGTAGCATGTTGCAAAAGCCAAACAATCTATTTTATGTACATTTCATGTAGAGTTTCATTCCATGGGCGTAACTCATTTCCTTAAATGTTTTTAAATTTGCATTTCTTTGTAAAAGAAAACAATGAGATACTGTTAGGACTAAACAGTAAATTTAAATTACTTTTTTATCATAATAATATGTTACGATTGTCTCCTACTAAGGTAACGTTGAGAAAATTAAATGTAAAACCTATCTAACATAACCCATTAAGAGGCTCAATATTCGGGCCTGCACAGAACAGATTATTCCCCCGCATGACCAGGTCATGAAATAACTAGTAAACAAAAGGGCATGTTAGTAGATAAAGAACTGTATCAACAATATTTACCTAAGAGTGCTTTTGTTGTTATTTACATTGAAATAGAATGTATGTACGATTCAGACTGTATGATTTTTTAATTGAAGCAAAAAATAAAGCACTATTCGGCAGGAACAGCTTTTGTCCGGTAAACTGATTGTCCGGTAAATATAAACTTACACTAAGATGGGAAAGTTCGATGTTCTGAATTATGCCTTTTTTTCAGTTAACAACCATTTTGAGAAATTCACCGCTACACATTTGTTCGTTATCAGATGTCCACTGTCCGCGTCAGAGTAAGCTGCAAAACTCTATAAAAGGGATCCCATCAAGTTGTGGTTACTTTGCAACACAAAAAACATTAACAGACAAAAATTTGTTTTTCATTCAAGGGCAACAACTCAGCAAAAATATCCAGGCAGAAGACCTGTGTAATTTGCACAAGTAATTGAGCTACTGCTCACTTCTGTAAAGTTTCATTGAAATTGCATTAGTGGTATAAGAGGAGTATTTTGTCAAAATTCAAGCATAGAGAGTTTCAAAGAAATACTTCAGAGGGTTTTAGAAATAATTGAGGTTGTTTGAAAAAACTGAAATTCTAAGATGAAAAGGGGGCATAATTTTGTCAAAATCCAAGGAAGAGTTATGTCCTCATTCCTGAAAGTGCAAGTAATTTGGATGGTACAAAAAAACTTTACCAGAAATGTAATGCCAACACCCAGGTTAGTAGGATAGCTCTCCCTATCATAAAAATATAATAGTCCAGCTAAAAATTACAAAGGGCAGCAACTCCATACCTAGGCAAAAGAGAGTTGTGTTTTTTGTGAACTTCACTCATCCTAATGGAGATCAGACCTTGTTTTATGTTAAAACCTCCAATATTTTAGTAATGCCATCCAATAAAGGGAGACACCCAGTTTGTTTCAAGTCACAGATTATCAGCTTGGAACCCAGCACCACCCACAAAGAACCCAACCCTCAGGACCGGGCGACCCTCTACTACCAACATATTGTTCAACCCCCAAAAAACACAAAGATAACATTAAAAAACATGTCAATAGAAAATCAAATGGTTTATCTTAAAATCTTAATTTATTTTTTACTTTTTAAGGATTCAAAAAGAAAGTGAATATATCTAAATTTAAACAAAATTCAGTCCATTTAGAGTGAAGAGGGCAATATTTACTGCATACAGCAATATCCATTCCCTAATATTCAATACTATGATTCAAAACTATGAGGAGATGTTTATTACATTGGTTGAATATGAAAGGTCAGGGTCAAGGGCATGTATGTTATTGTACTCTCTGCAATGACCTTCCCCATTGAAGATTATCTTTTCATGTCTCGCAAGTAGTAATTAAAATGTCATGGGAAGTTATTCAAGACACCAAATTTAAGAAAACATAAACAATACAATTTTATTATATAATCCTTATTATTAATCAATTTTAATTTTTTATCATAATTTATATTTTGATTTTAGCTGTTTTATATATGAATCTTCAGGAAAATGATTGAGTCACAGTGCCTTTTGGATATTAGTACCTAATGCAATGCATGAGTATATTAACAATGAGTTTGAAAAATATCATCATAAGCCATAAATGTTGATTATAAATTTGTGTGTGTCAACAGTCAAGTAACCTTTGCACACATCACACATCACCTACCTAAATCTACGAGTAGTTAGATAACAATACAATGACAGGCACGTAATTGGGAACTTGCACATAAACTGCATAATATATGAAAAACAATTTCATTTCAAACAGATTTTCAAGTTAATGATTGTTTTTCACAAAGGTCAAGAACGGTAACTGCAGATTATGACAGCGTTTTCTTTGAAGGTCGACTATAGCTTATTTTACCCACATTTTACTTTGACATCATTGATATACATCAAATTGCTGGAAAATAAACAATTTACTTTTAAACAGTTTCACTTATTTATGAGTCTGATAAATAATAAACTTACCATTTTTAGTAAAATATATTTTGCTTCCTGCAGTTTCTTTTTCCAAGGCGACCCACCGGCAAAACAACCTTGACCTTTTTAGGAAATGGTAAAGAAAGACACGAATAATAATTTATACCGGATAGCTGGTCATCTATGGGAGAAAGTAAATGTAATATATCGGTCAGCCTGGACTACTAAACGGTAGTCAGACTATTCTCTCCCTTACCGTTTCCTTCCCTGACGTTTCCTCCCTGACGGTTCTCTCCCTATTTTTGGGGGGGAACCGTCTACATAATTGCAAATATGCAGACAGTTCCCCCCTTTTTATTTGTAAATTATCTAAAAAATCTAACTTAATTAACATATTTTAATTACCTTTTAATTAATTTCATTAAAATTTATTAAAACTTCATTAATTCTTTACTCCCAGTCATATTTTTGTGATTGAAAATATTTAAGATCTCAGGAGAAAAAATCCAACAGAGCTGATTTTAACTCATTTTAACTCTTTATTTGGTATTATATATTTTTTCATGTTAATGACTACATGTTCTTTCAGAAATTTTGTATAAAAGTAAATGTGATTGCATACCAGTTGTTGCTTATTTATTTTCTAAAATTTGTTACCACCCTATGTGCTATTTAAACAAATTAATGAATATCAATAGACATTAATTAACATAATTACAGGTGTATATCAATCACTGTCCAATAATCTTAATCTCTCACAATGAAGGTGTTGATAGGATTAAAATACCTGAAAAAGGTGTTAAATTTATAAGCACTAAATTCAGATAAACAAAACATAAAATTCACTTAATATCAAACACATTATTTTAATAATATTCATTAAGAAATATAACTAGATTAAGTCAAAACAAAAAAGATAACTTATAAAATAAAAATTGGGGGAGAACTGTCTGCATATTTCAATATTGGGAGAGAATCGTCAGGGGAGGAAACGGTTAGGAGAGAACTGTCAGGGGGAGGAACTGGAAAGGGAGAGAATAGTCTGTCATTCCTACTAAACACTACAAAGTCAATTTTAAGTGAAGAACAGTCAGTTATTTTTTAAAATTTCTATCATTATAGTAGTCCTATTTTACATGAGTTTAGTATTCAGCAAAGATTATCTATTGTACTATTATACTAATTAGATTAGAACCTGCTTTGGTTGTCTGATTTTATATTTCAAACATTTTCACTTAAAAAGTCGTATGATAGACAAAGAGGCCTCTGTATATCTACTTCATCTGCCCGCATCAGCAGCATATCTATTTGTATTTATGGTAGTATTAACGTTACTGTACAATTCGTTTATGATTTATAAATTTGTTAATTTTGTCAGAGACATAGATGGCATCTATGTTATATACATCTCTTATTTTGTCAAGGGTACATATTTCATATAGCAACAATGTAAAATTATATGATATATAAATAATGATCTAAACCATTTAAAAAGATATTTTGACAAAAAACACAACAAAAACAACAGTGAACAATGCAAGAAGCGTGGTGCATGTCTTTTGAAATTTGGGTCAGCATCATGTACATGTGAACCTTCCATTAATTGTCTTAAATGAAATGTGAAAATGATTTAAATGGTGTTCTTTCTCTAACTTTCTAATGATTTTTATGGTAGCTACATATTCAATATTTTAACAATGCTTATTCATATTGTGCTCATTTATCATTTAAGTATTCTACATTTTAGTTGTAGCATTATGAAAATCTGGAAAAATGATCCCTCGGAAGCATTAATCACAACAAAATTACATGAAAATTGCAGACTCGGTAAAAACAGGGATTTTCCACAATTAAAATTATTTTCTATATTTATGAGGACAATACATTTAAAATGTATTCAAGGCTTACAAATACAACAGCTATATGAAAGAAAAAAAACCAAGGATCAAGAATTTTATATCACGGTCAATATAAAAAAAATAAATCTATAGTACGTACCTTCTAAGGCTTCTTAACAAACAAACACTTGTCATGTGGTCGATATTCGTGTTTTTGAATATCGTTTTTATGTATCATATTGTCCTTGTATTTGTATATAGATCTCGTGTATTTGTCTATTAACTATGTTTCTAAATTTTTAATTTGTCTATTAACTACAGTCCGATATACTATCCATTATCCTATATCATTCCTATATCATTCCATTTCATCATCTTTTCATTATAACAAATAATTACTTATATTTCATTTCGACATAAATTGCATGCCGGGCCTCAGTTTTTATAAACTTCCCGGAAAAATCACGTCACAGAATGAATGAACTTAAATACAATAAATATTTAGAAGATACTTTGAAAAAGAAGATAAACCTGTTCTAAAATATACATCTGATCAGGGGCTGCGTGTGTTGTTTAAAAAATTATTTGTTTGGGTCTTCAGACCCAAGCAAATACTTATATGACTAATGTTACTTCAAACCCTATGCTTCGCTTATTGTCACAAGTACTTGAGCTACTAATCAATCCTGTACAATTTCAATGAAATTGCATAGGTGGTATAATGCTATAAGAGGAGTATTCCGGAGAAACTTTATTAACATCTTTTTATTTAAGCGTCTTTACTCTGCAAAAGTCATTCAAGCAGAAAACCCGTGTAATATACAATATACGCAAGTACTTGAGCTACCAATCAATCCTGTAAAATTTCAATGAAATTGCATCAGTAGTATAAGTGGAGAAGTCAAGAAATCTTTGAAGATAGATATAATGAAAGTGCCATAACTCTGACAAAAATCATTGAACCAATAAAACAACAAAAGACGATGATATGTAAAACTAGACTTGGTACTGATTATTCCTATAAAGTTTTGATGAAATTGCGCCAGTAGTTTCTAAGAAGTAGTTCGGACATGATTCGTTGCACCTCGAAACACACACAAAAAACCTTGTGATATGCGCAAGTACTTGAGCTACTAACCAATCCTGTAAAGTTTCGTAAAATTGCTTCAGTGGTATAAGAGAAGTAGTCCGGACAACCTTTAAAAATAAAAATAATTAAAGGGTTATAACTGTTACAAAAATCATTGATACGGAAAACGCAGACGATATACAAATGTACACAACTAGACTTCGTACTGATCATTACTGTAAAGTTTGGAGGATATTGCACCAGTAGTTTCTGAGGAGTAGTCAGGACAAGTCTTGTGACAGACGGTCATACGGACATTTAGACGGACAGACGACGGATAAGTGATCCCAGTATGTCGCCACTACTCCGTATGATGTTTTACCAAGTGTCCTGATCCATGCATACTTATAAACTTTCAACAACGGCTTGTGCTCGCATTAACTTATTTGTGTTAATGGATTTTCTTTCTCCGTTAATGTAAACCAGACTTGCAATAATATGCCACTCTAAGAGTCTTTCAAACATCAGGGTCTTTCAAACAGGGTCTTTCAAATAGAAAAAAAACCCTGTTTTTGAAATACCTTGTGTGTACACATATCAAAACTAAAATCTCTAATGACCGTATCACTTGCTCTGTCTCCATTTGATGTATGAACGACACCTTGTATTACGAGTAGCCAGTCAATGTGGGGAAATTAGTTACCCAGGAAAGCTGGTTTGGTTGACCAACTCACTGCAACTGCAGAGATATGGCCAAAAGGGTTTTAAATTGGCGTAAAATCCAACCAACCCAACGAAAACTGAAAGAGAGCTTTTAGATTGAATTAACGGCCATCCAAATGATATATCAAAACAGTTAGTCATTATGGCTGTTTTAAACCTTTACACAGTGCGTGTATGATGGATATGCGGTAGTTTGAAACTTGGTGATAATAAACGCTTTCCGCTCCGCATTTCCAACAGGTGTTTGCGGTATTGGACATATATTAGGCTATACCTATGCTGGAAAAACAACAAAAAGAGGACAGTGGACATATTATTGTGATGGTCGTTGAAATTTAGTTTCATGTTAAACCTTACTAATAGTTCGTGAGTAAAATTAACAATATATACTTTGATAAACTTAATTGTGCGTCCAATTCAATATCTGTAACAAAAGAGATCTTATTAGTGCTACAGTGTCCGGTTGTCAGTTTCGGATAAATAGATCTACTAAATAATTAAGATTATAACTAATTTATAAGAATTACAGTCAACCCGGCCCCAAGTCAACCCGGCCTCAAAATTGGTCAACCCGGCCCCAAAATTGGTCAATCCGGCCCCACAGTATTTTTATTTGGTCAATCCGGCCCCAAAATTGGTCAATCCGGCCCCAAATCGGTCATTCCGGCCCCAAAATATATATTTTCAAAGAAAATTATTTAAGTCATCTTGTTGTATGATGGAATAAAAATGATTTATTATTAATTGTACCAAATTTAATGATTATTTGCATGTTATTTCACTGTAATCCAGACAAAAAAACACCACTTACTTTATAAAATATAAGTCATATAATGATATTTGATATCTTCTGTTCATCACGGATATGATTTTATATATAAAAAAAAACAAAAACAAATATAACTTATAACTTTTTTATTTATAAACCAAATTTAACGATATATTGCATATAAAATCATTTTATTATTAATCAAGAAAAGTTAATAAAAAAATAATCAATTTATAAAATATAAGTCATATTCGGTATCTTCTGTTCGCTACGGATATGACTTTTATAGAACGTAATTCGAATATAACTTATAACTTTTTTTATTTATGGACAAAATTTAACGATATTTTGCATGTAAAATCATTTTATTATTATAAAACATCGTATCAAGAAAAAATAATAAAAATAATTACTTTGTAAAATTTAAGTGTTTATATTTTAAAGCAAAATAAATAATAAAAAATGGGGCCGGGTTGACCAGAAATAACATTGGTTTGGGGCCGGGTTGACCAATTTGGGGACGGGCTGACTTGGGGCCGGGTTGACTTGGGGCCAGGTTGACTTGTACCGATTTATAAGATTATGAATTTTATGTTTTGAAAGGATTATGTATTTCACTTTTCAAGTATGTATGTTAGGTAATATAGTTTCATCAGGGGTGGATTATGATACAGAAAGGGTTTTCTAGGGGCTGACATATGGATGGAAGATTTTGACAAAAACAAAAGAAAAACAAAGCAACAGGCGAAAACTGTGCATGTTTGAAGAGAGGGCAAGCACTTTGTTCATGTGACAA